GGATGAAGCACAGTGAAAGCACACACACATGAGAAACAAAACTGCATCCAGGACTGTGTTAGCATTTACGCAGCTCAGCTTACCCCTAGATCTACTGGCCGTAGCGCAGGTGCACCTGCTTCTGCTCTAATATGGCCATGGTTCTAACAGTTGATATCATTTTGCTTTAAGTTGGTTGGGAAGTAAAATTATTACAGATGCTTTAGGAAGCAGATCCTAACCCTAGTAGCTAAATCTAGCCTAGTGTATGATTTCTATGTAATGTGTATTATCTGGGTTATTGGTAAGGTCCTGTCTTGTCCCAGTGTACCTCTTATCACAGGAGTTTTTGATTTAAACCACCTTATTTATGAAAGATAAGGAAAAAGAAAAGAAACACAGAAGTACCTGCTTTCACTGCCAGCCCTCTCCTTGGTGAGGCCTGGTGATAATTTTCTTGCCAATGACACAACAGAATTGGGGCTTTAGGAGAGGAACAGCCAGCTCCAGAATGGTGTCCTGGGGCACCGGGAGGTGCATGCCTACAAGGGGTGAAGCTGGTGCCGCCGGCCTGGCATGCAGGAGGCAAACGCTGGTAGGATGAGCAGCCAGAGGCATAGGGCGCTGAAGAACCTGAAGAACCAGACCCCAAACTCACTGTGACGGAAGCTGCAGGACAGAGGGGCGTCACTGTGTGTTAATTGCACCCTTCCTGGTCTCTGTCCCTTACAGGTGACTTTGTAGCTTCATGCCTTGGATTCTGAGTGAGAGAAACCATGTTCTCAAAGTCTCTTTCTGAGGCTCCACGACCCTACTTCATGGAGAAAGTACACTGGATTTATGGTTTCTTTTCTTCTCAGGCAATGCAGGGAAATAAAGGGAATTATCTGCTGTTTAAAAGGGACCTGGACTGCAGAATCACAAGGGGAAGAGATGGGGTGAGTCAAGAGATAATGCTAACACTAAAAGATAAAATGGATTAACATCTCTCTGTGTGCGGAAAGCTGCGTGGGTGGAGCAAGAGGTTGCAATAGCAGTTTAAAAGGGGATGAGACAGCTGGCCAGCCTCGTATTTTTCTCTTAAAAAAAAGAAATCCATCCCTAAAGCTGAGCTTAGCTGATGCTATCCTCCAAAGTCCACGTTAGCCAGCCAGGCTTACTGGCTGCAGTCGGGAGGTGTCAGGACAACCTGACTAAAAGACCCTCCTGGCTGACCTACGTGGGGCTAATGCAGCCGATTTTCACCTGCAGGCTACAGCAAGAGGTTGCAAAAATGATCCATGGGAAATAGCTCACAATCATATATTTCCATTTCTATTTCAGCCTGGGATCTCAGCTTTAACGAGTCTTGAGACAAATGAGGCCACGCACTGCTTGCTCAAGGCAACTGTTCCAGCGTGTCTGCAGGGTGACACAAACCATGGTAGAGGGCCTGTTTAGGATGTGATTAAAGAGGTAATTCTCCCTCCCTGTGCAGATGAGATCTAAGCGTGGCTTAAGTAAATTACTGAATGGCTTGTTATAGCCCTGGCTGAGTTCCCTTGCTGCACAGAGCCTAGTTTTTTACATCCAATTTGCTCTGAAGCCCTGAGTGTCACAACAGCATCCCAGCACCTGCATCTCTGTGCTTGTCTGACACCCCTTCTCTGGAAGATGGGACCCCGGGGACCCACTGCGGATGGCTCTGAGGCGCAGGCTAAGCACCATCAGTTTTCCTAATAGTTTCTGATGTTCATTCCCTGAAAGGTCCCCCCTTCTGAATGGTGCCAGTCCACGGTTTGATCTTCAGGGACTAGCTGACTGAAAGCCAGAAGCACTTTGCTCTCAGCTAAAGGATTTTTAACAGAAGCATGCTTTATTCACCATGTGGCACAGATGAACACACAGACCTCGGGAAGGGTAACAACCCCACAAACCCTCCTGTTTCCACCCCTGCTCTTCTACCCCCTCAACAGCTTTTTGGCTCCTGGTCTGTGTCCTGGAGAGGATCTCAACCCCTCCGGCTCCCTCCCTGCTCCTCCCACATCACAGACTGAGCTCAGCCCGTTGCTTTGTCCTTTGCGTGGGCTGTTTTTCATGGAGTTTAAAATCACTTCGAGCACCTTGTAATCTTTCATCCCGTCTCTTGGCCTTTTTCCACTTGCACCCCAGGAGAACTGGCCGGCGGCCTCCAACGGCCTGCCCCGTGCAGCCGTTCGACCTTTTATTGCCATTAATGGCCCCAATTCAACATTGCCTGGTTCTTGGCATAAAACGGAAGATTTAATTCCCCTCTGAAGGCTGTAGCGTATATGAGGATTCAGAAGAGGAACGGGACCTGTGCGTGTCAAACAGAACACACCCTTAGAACAAAGAACGCGCCGAAGCGTGGCCTTATGATGGTGACCCTTCAAAGGGGTCATTTCAGGGCGCAAAAACGCCGCCACAGCACCTCATGTCCCCGAAGGAGAGCGACACAAACTTCACTTGCCTGTAATTGAGCAGCTTCTCGGGACGGGGAGAGGCGGCATTTGCTCCGGGGGCCGCCGCCGGCACAGC